CACGCTGTTTGTCCGTCTGTCCGTCCGTTAGCACGATAACGAATCGACCGATTACGATAAAATTTAGTAGATGGATTCTTTATCAAATTTGTGGGTCGGAGTTCGTGAATTGGCAATGTATCCCAAAAAATAAGAAAGGTACTTTTGACATCTCCGTGAGTCATGAACCGAATTGCATAAAATTCAATATGCGTATAGCTTTAGCCATATGAAACACAATTCCAAAAATTGAGCCTAATCGATCAACATTCACAGTGCCCTTTTCGCATCTCGACCATTTATAAACCGAATTGAAAACTTTTTTATTTATGAAGGTATTTAAATGAAATTTGATACATAGCCACTTGGAATAAAACAAAATTTAAAGCCACTCTCAAAATTTCGTTCTGCGCATGCGCAGTGCCAACTTTCTTATTTATGGAGAGATTTAAATGAAATTTCATACATAAGCACTTAGAATAAAATCAAATGTAGCGCCATTTTCCAAATTTGGATTTGTGTAAGATGTGTAGTGCCAACTTTCCTATTTATGGAAGCAATTAAATGAAATTTCATACATATACGCTTTAATTACAAATTTTATAAAAGCAAAACTAACATCAGGTTTAAAATTTGGTTTTGCACATGCAGCTATAGCCATTTACCCAGGAGCTCGTTTTCTATATTTGTTTAGTTTATTTAATACTTACGAATAGAGGTGCCTCTCGTTCCTCCTTTAGTGCGTTGTACAATTTCATTCCAAGTGATTCGTTTGACATTGGAATTGTAAACAGCGGTCCACGGATAATAATTTCTTTTTTGTCCATTATACACTCAAGCTTCGCCTAAATGTGTCAGTCTTTCGTATCTTACGAGAAAAGTTACGTGTTTTAGCTTTATATATAAACAGAAACCGCAGATTAGATATGGAATAAAAAGTAAACTAGCCCTTTTGAGGTTCCTCATTCGAAACCTAAATAACCAAATTACTTAACATAAAGCCCATATTTGCAACGTTTTTCTTGTTTAGTACAAGTTTTATTCAATTTTATAGGAACATGAAAATTGAACTTTGGATAGAGCACTTTCTGTAAATTGTAGATCTGTCCATTTGAATGATTGCACCCCTTCAATTGACCTTGTTTGGTTTCGTTATGGTACGTTATACATAGATAATAAAAAATCAACTACAATACAAATAAGTAGATAAAACAATTGCAAATTGGAATACAAGCAAGATTAAAGGAACGTGTATGAAGGAGATTCATGTACTATACTTACTCTAAGATGCCGTGAAAACAATTATCTATTAAAAATCTAATGTAGTAATATTCTTTACTACAACTATTTAATTGATTGTAAACCGACACAGTTAGTAGGAAAATTATTTAGTAGGTACAGTCAAATTAGACGTACAAATGGTAAATGAAACTGAGGCGACTGCAAAAGTACCTTTCATTTGATATTTTATTTGGCCCTCTGACACCTATTAGTAGAGGGCACAGAATCGCCAAAGTCGTTTAGAAATGATTTTCGTTTACACTTCGGGGTTAAAAGCTGAAACCAATTTTAAATGATGCATGATCATTAGAAATATCAAAATCCAGAAGGCGTCAAAAATCGTCCTGTACGGGGTGGCTCTAGAGGGTAAATTGTAAAAAACACCCCAAATTTTTTTTTGCATATTTTGAATTTATTGAATATATACTTTGCACTGCCCATAGCTCAGGTATGTGAAACCGATACAACTATTTATTATTTAGTGTTTTTTACGACCGAAAAGCACGGGATTAAATGAGGAATCTTAACTTTCGCCGGCGTCTAACGAACTCGACCGTAATATTTTGACAAATTAGCGCTTCAACCCGTCGTATCTAATTTACTTGCATCCTGATGAAAAAATATTCATTAATAACGTTGTAGAGCGTATTCTGGACATTCTGAACCACTATTTTTAATTCACTTCACATTACCGAAAAGTTTTGTATCGATTTATTTATAAACGCGCGCATATGACTGAGTAAGGACGATTATCGCTTGCGCATATGCATACACGCGGTTTATAAGGCAGAAAGTCGCGTATCTCCCTGCTTGTGTATATTAAAAACCTTCTGGATATTAAATATCCCAGTTAACTGTTTATTTTTTTAGATGCAAATTTTATACTATATAATTATTTAACATTAACGTAAATACTTAATCAGAATCTAGTTCCGATTCGGATGTTTCTTGAGAGTTTTTCGTGAAAGAATTTTTGCAAGTGGGCTTCCGTCCCATACATTTACAGGAGCCAAGGCACGGTAATTGCTTTTTTGACCACGAACAATGAAATCTGGAACATCCTAAAAAATAAAGATATGTAAAATAATACAAAGTCAAAATGTAATTAACAAAAACCTTTTCTGCAGTTACATTTAGCCAAAATAGATGTATCAGCTGCAGGCATTGATGGTTTCGTTGTAAGCACTGGAACAAAATTATTCCCAACAATTTTCCAACCATTTTCCAGAGGATCTGGTAGAGACGGTTTTGGGTTAAGACTGTTCAGCCAAATGTATATTTGATAATTCACGCGTAAAAAGTGCTGATAAAGATAACTGCAGTAGGTGGCAATTTGTGGATAGAATTTGAAGAAACCATGATACTGCGTAAACGATTTATTATTTATACAACTTATTATATCAGAAGTTGTGTATAATTTAATGACAAATTGAGTCATATTATTGAATGTATCTTCATTAAGTGTCGAAGATCCAACACCGTTTAGCAAATCATGATGCAACAAACCAATTTTCCAGCATGTTGTTTTGTCAAGTCCAACAAATTGACTTGTACAATCACAACCTGCAGTAATTGCGTGAAATGCAGGCAAGTTTGTCAATAGACTTGGGGAAATGACGAGTTCGTGTACATGCTATAAACCGTACGTTGTCGTTCGTTCCAAGTTTTACCCACACTTCCTCGGTGGGACGGTTTTTGAAATGAGCAAGTAAGACAAGAACGTCGGTATCTCTGCAGTCAATAATACACCTTGAATATCCTTCTAATTTTGCTTGTAGAATGTGCAGTAGGATTCTGGTATCTCCTTCTTCGTGTGAAGAGGCAAGTAATGAAGTAAATCACTACAAAGAGGAAAATTTGATCTATATTCAGTAACGTCTTTGAATCCTCCACTGGTTACAAATGTTAAACTAGAATCTTTCGAAAACTCATATAACTGACGACATAAAAAATTTGTTAATTGTTGCTTGTTAAACGAGGAATGAATAAATAAATACCACAACTGTAGATACATGGTCAATTGTACGTTTTATATTTTCCTTTTGCGAGGTTCTCTTTGTACGGGTGCAAATGTGCAATCTTTGATCGATTTTTCATGGTAGTGGTCCATGACCATCAATGCCTGCTGATACATCTAGTTTGGCTAAATGTAACTGCAGAAAAGGTTTTTGTTAATTAGGTACATTTTGTCTTTGTATTATTTTACATATCTTGATTTTTTAGGATGTTCCAGATTTCATTGTTCGTGGTCAAAAAAGCAATTACCGTGCATTGGCTCCTGTAAATGTATGGGACGGAAGCCTACTTGCAAAAATTCTTTCACGAAAAACTCTCAAGAAACATCCGAATCGGAACTAGATTCTGATTAAGTATTTACGTTAATGTTAAATAATTATATAGTATAAAATTTGCATCTAAAAAAATAAACAGTTAACTGGGGAAGGTTTTTAATATACACAAGCAGGGAGATACGCGACTTTCTGCCTTATAAACCGCGTGTATGCATATGCGCAAGCGATAATCGTCCTTACTCAGTCATATGCGCGCGTTTATAAATAAATCGATACAAAACTTTTCGGTAATGTGAAGTGAATTACAAATAGTGGTTCAGAATCTCAAGAAAACGCTCTACAACGTTATTAATGGATATTTTTTCATCAGGATGCAAATAAATTAGATACGACGTTGAAGCGCTAATTTGTCCAAACATTACGGTCGAGTTCGTTAGACGCCGGCGAAAGTTAAGATTCCTCATTTAATCCCGTGCTTTTCGGTCGTAAAAAACACTAAATAATAAATAGTTGTATCGGTGTCACATATCTGAACTATGGGCAGTGCAAAGTATATATTAAATAAATTCAAAATATGCAAAAAAAATTTGGGGTGTTTTTTACAATTTACCCTCTAGAGCCACCCCGTACAGGACGATTTTTGACGCCTTCTGGATTTCGATATTTCTAATGATCATGCATCATTTAAAATTGGTTTCAGCTTTTAACCCCGAAGTGTAAACGAAAATCACAATTTATGGCATTGGGAACTCTACTATATAGTTTAGGAGATGGATACATCAATTTAAAGTTTCGTGTTTTAATCAATATTTGAAAATAATGCCATCTGTAAGATGATGCAAAACCTACAGAATATACGACCATTGTCTCTGTATCGTTTATGAGGTGTTTAGAGCCACACTTTTTGTATGGATACGAGCTAACTCCAAAAAAAATAAGTGACAAGAAAGAACGGCACTTATCACAGCATATAACAAAGAGGTACCTACATAATATGTAATAGGTACATTTACTCAGTTGGGGGATACTCTGAAGTATCATATACAGTTGAGATCTTATATCAGCCAATAAGAACATTCGTTATCGCATTGCGTAAGGTGAAATATAATTAGATTCAAGATAAGTACTGGTTATCGCTGATAAGCGAACAACAGGTGTGCAGTTTATTTCGAGGCTGGCTTATTCAAATTTATTTCTGATTGGCTCTGTGTTTACGAAATCTAAAAGGAGATTATTTTATGGTGAAAGTGGTGGAAACGGGTTTATTTGGTGACGGCAAGAAATTATTTCGAACTAAATGTATTAATATAGTTAAAAAAATTAAAACAAGACCAAAATTTTAATTCCTTAACACCAACAAAATATACCCGTAGATAATTAATTTTATTTTATTCGATCTTGTAACACGTAACTCTAACCACTCAAAGGCGAAAAGAACAATGCAACAAAGGCTTTGAAATCCTTAGTTTTATAGAATTATCTGCTCAAAAGTAGACTGATGAACATTGAACAACATTATTTAGTAATAAGTAAGTATTCTATTTATCCTTAGAAAGGCTATAGACAGTGAATGTAGTTGTGATGATGAAATGTACACAGCTATCTCTGATTCTAGAACTTTTCTTGTCATTATTTACAACTTGGAGTTGTGTTTGTGTAGAGTGTCTCGTAAAATCCGACGAATAATTTTGCCAGCAGGATTTCTAGGAATGTTGGGCACAAAAAGGACACTTTCTAAACGTTTATAAGCTGCCACTTGCCCTGCAACATGAAGGTTAGTTTGATAATGAAGATATCTTAAAACATACACACGCACCATGAATAAAATCTTTCAATTCTTTTTCTGTCAGATCTTGTCCTTGCATTGCTACTACAAAAGCTATTGGCACCTCTCCGTGTCTGTCGTGAGGAATGCCAATCACGCCGACATCGGCAACTTTTGGATGATTAACTAATATGGCCTCTAATTCAGCTGGTGCAACCTAAACAGAATATTATAATTCCTTTGGCGACCTCTGAAAATGCAACCTGATATCCTTTGCACTTGATCAACTCTTTTAGTCTGTCTACTATGAAAAACATGTGGTTGTTGTCGTAATAAGCCATATCTCCCGTATGAAGCCATCCGTCCTCGTCAATGGTATTTCGTGTAGCTTCTGGATCATTAAAATACCCTTTCATAATTATGTCTCCACGACACCATATTTCCCCAACCGCCATTGGACCCAGGGATTTTCCTGTATCTACGTCTACTATCTTTATTGCCATATTTGGGAAAGGAATACCGCAAGAACCGGGTACAACTTGGTCGTCCAAACTAACCAAAATACCAATAGTTGCTTCCGTCATACCATATCCTTGTCGAATATCGTCCACCTTTAGTCTATAGAAAAAAAACCACTTTAATCTATTATGACCAAAGTATCACGTACTGCAGGAGTGGAGACAAGTGAAGTATGGGGAAGGGAGGTGTTAATTTTATAGACCGTAATCTGTGCTTCTAGCAGCAGTGCAGATATGAAACCTCAATCCATTGAATTTTACCTCCTGGACCGCCTGGACCAGAACTCGAAGAAATTTATATCCTATAGTCGTTACGGCATCATTATGTTTTTCATGCAAAATCATAAATAAATACCTTCTCTTCGAAAATTCTAGTAAAAATTCCGCCGCTCTCCCACCAGATTTTCACTTTTCTCCTGACCGCAACTTTTGTGGAAGGAATTTTCATCACGTGCTCGGCTTTTTGCAAAACAGAACGCAACTTTTGGGGTCTGTGACATCATGCCAACACTGTGACGTTTTGACTCTTGGTACAAATGAAGATTACGGGCAAAATGAGGCAAACGCCAATCTAGCTCTTATAAGTACCTGGTGCAATAAGAACTGTTTAGTAATGAATGTAGGAAAAACAAAATCGCTCGTTTTTGGATTAAAACAATATAATACGTCCCACGCATCTGACGCATCACATTCTGTGTCGTTTCTTGGTGTCCATTTGGACCCAAAGTTATCATTCCATGACCACGTGGGAAAACTTACCATCAAATTCAGCAAACATTTGTTCGTTATGCGACGATTAGCAAAAACTGTCTCAACTCAAGTTTTAAGTAATGCATATTACGCACTTTGTCAAAGTGTGCTATCATATGCTCTACTTACCTGGGGTCATTCTTCCCAGTTAAAATACGCGTTTAAGCTACAACGTCGAGCTGTTAGAATTTTAGACAAAATTGGATATCGTGATGATTGTCGTACAAGTTTTATAAAATTAAAGATACTCACGTTGCCATGTCTATTTGTGTTAACATGTGTTTGTCATGTCACAGTTACATTGGATACATATTCTCTTCACTCGGATATACATAAATACAATACAAGAAACAAGGACTCAGGATGGACCCACCAACATCGCACTTAAAATATTCAACCATCTACCCAGCTGTTTAACCGCCTTAGAATTAAAACTATTTAAGTTAAAGATTAAAGCTTTCTTATTAAGTAAAGCGTTCTATTCTGTTGAAGAGTTTCTGCTTTACGATATGAAAACTTTTCCATGTAATTATTAAGCACGCATAATATTTTAGATTTTTCCATTGTTTTGACGAATGTAAGTTTCTTTTGTTAACTATGCATGAAATAAATATTATTATTATTATTATCTACTTGACAACTTGTTTCTTATCTTAACGTGCTTTATTTTCCCGAATATAAGTTCTGTTCCTTTTACTTATGAAGCGGTACAATTTGTAAATTTAACAAAAATTCTTTAAATCCTACAGCGACCACCTGTTAAAACCCCCCACTATAGTGCCTCCCGCTGAATTGAGATGCGCTCCAGGAGCAGCAAAAAGCATGTAAACTCGGCAATCAACATTTTTCTCCTACTTTTGATACTCCGTAAACAGAATCCGCATAATAATCACTTCAGTGGCACTCCTCGTCGCCAAATATGATGTGTTTTAGTATATAAAATAAACCATTTCTTTAAACAAGAAACTTGAACTTTTATTTTTTTCCATAACAAACAAACTCGCCCTAAATCCTGAACGGTTGGAAAATGCAGATGAAGCAGTGAGATTGTAACGGTCGTGGGTAAAGCGCTTATTAAAAGTCTTACCGCTTAATCAGTGCTTCTTCCGCGCTTTTGCCTAGTGGTGCTGCACCGCACCTGATCCTTTTCACACTAGATAAGTCGTATTTATCTACCAACGGACTCTTAATCAAAAAATTTGCCATCGATGGTACAATTGAAAGTTGATCGATTTTATAATCCTGTATGGTTTTGAGGTACACATCTGGGTCGAATTTCTTCATTATAATCGCTTTTCCTCCATCAAAAATTCCTCGAAATGCCAAAAACAATCCATAGGCATGGTGTAACGGTAGATTTATCAAGGTTACAGCAGCTCGTGGGTTGGTGATGGCTGCGAATCTATACAAGGATATTACGATTAATTTAAAAGAATGTATTCAAACGTAGCAAAACCTACCCAATCACACCAATAACCGTGGTATAATTGAAATGCGTCAACATGACACCTTTTGGCAAACCTGTCGTTCCTGATGACTGTAGGATAAATGCAACATCTTCTTTTACGTTCACTGGACATGGTGAAAATGTGCTGACATCGAAATTTGCTGGTATATATTCCGATATAAAACTTTTCATCGATTGACAGCCTCTGTAATCTTCTTTTGCATTAATTACTACCAGTTTAGGGACTCGTTTTAATCGATCTTTTACTTTCAGTATCACGGAACTTGCTTCGGTTGAACAGAATATTATTGATGGTTGGGAAATGTTGGCAACGTGAATCAATTCTCCTGAAAGCATTGTAGTGCAGAACTGCTGGGTTGCATAAAAATAACCAATACCAAACGCATG